GGGGGCCCAAAAATTTTACCCTGCGAAGAGGGGGCAAAAGATCGCCTTTGAGGGGAGGGGTCTTAGGAGGAAATTAGGAGTTTAGGAGCCCTGATAGAGGTTTGGGCAACCTTTTCGGGGGATCACCCGAGGGGGGCAAGACGGGTCACGATCGTAGCTGGGCAAGAAGGTGGGCCTCTTTAAACGCGGGAGCAGGCGCGGGGACCCCGGGGGTACTCGACCCACCCGCCTTTGAGGCTTTGTCCCTTCTCTAGGTGGGGGAACCGCAGGTGTGTGCGCCGCACCCGCAGCAGGGACCGATCCCAGCCTTCGAGGGCTATGGGGAGTCGGACCTGCTGACGCAGGAGGAGCTCAAGGAGGAGATCAAGCAGTCGATCTCCTTGATGGTGTCGGCCAGGCCGGCGTGGGGCAAGTACTTGGACCCGCGGCTGCTCACGGCGGCGCGACGCACGCCGGAGCAGGAGGCGGCGGCGGCGAGGCAGGAGGCGGCGAGGGTGGAGAGGCTGGCGGGGGGGGCGGAGGCGGAGGCGGAGGCGGACGAGGACGCGACCCAGGCGTCCGCATCGCCAGCCAGCGTGCTGGCGGAGTCGGGCACGCCGCATCGGCCGTCGCAGGCATCGACAATCGTGCCATCGGCGCCGCAGAGCGACATGACGGACATCGCGGAGCCGCAGATGCGCGCGAGTCGCTGCAAGAGCAGAGCGAGATGCACACAGCCTGATGGTGGAGGCTGTCGCCTCGCTGGTCGGTGGCCTCGACGCCCTCCGCGTGCTCCACACCGCCACCGAGGCTCACGTCGAGGAGAACCGCTTCGCCAACCCTCCTTCAGAGCTCGTGTTTGGGCGCCCAGCACAGGCAGCGCTGGGGGTCGAGCACTGCATGCACATGCACATGTGCATATGCGTTCCCAGGGAGGCTGTGTTGCACGGGCTGCTCGAGGGCACCGCCGCCATCGTGCGGGAGGTGAACACCGCCGGCAGAGCCTCGAGTACGTCCTGCACGCCGAGGCGGGCTCGAGCGAGCGAGCGTACCAGGGCGGGCTCAAGCGCGACTGCGACGAACGTGGCCGGGCGCTGGATTGCCGTGTGTGAGTGAGTATTCTTGATACGAAACCACGACGACACACACCAGTCGACTCGCATCGGTGGCCTCCCATGAACGGCGGAGCTATTCTCGCGTCCACACCACACCTGGCTCCAACGTGGACACGCCCATAGCTGGGGACACTACTAGGTCACGCATGGCATCAGAAGTTTTATCTCTGGGCCCCGAAAGGCATCTCTAGCAGCGTCGTTACGCATGCGCCCTCCCCTCCTGGGCGCATGCGCCTCACGTCTCGCCAGAGCATAAGCCCTTGGTGTGCGACGAGACGAGTTTTTCGCCATCGCAGCGAGCAGCAAGCCGCCCGCCGCAATGGCCGCAGCGTGCCGCAACAGCCGGAGGACTGGAGGGCTTTGCTTCTTCTGTGTGAGCCGGTGTGTGTGCCAGTCCGCGCCAGGCGGCAGCCGTTGAGCACTTGGAGCACTTGGAGTGCAGTCATTAGCCTCACATCCAGGGCCGTTGACCCCGAAGAATTCTTTCTGAAGGCGCCTGCGAACATTTTGCTCGGCACGCGAGAGAGTTGGTCGTTGGACACATAATGGAGGCAAACGGCGCCGGTCCGAGCGCGGCGCCGCTCGTGGTGGCGGCGGCGGTGCCGCCGCACGCGC